GGTCTTAGAGTCTGGAGAGCACATCGGGGGCAGCGAGAGACCCTCAGGAAAACAGGTTTTGGGGTAGGGTTTGAGCCATGAGTCTACAGTGTGGGATGGTGGATTTAAGATGTGTGCTTTTCCCTTTGCAGCCCAAGTCCTCTCTGTGGGGCGAAGTTAGTTTCCCTGTAATGATGTTTTTGGGCTAATGCTGTAGCACAGTATTTTATACTTGATTATTTTATAATTTTCTTATGAAGTGGTTCTGTTTCAGGAATTATTGTAGGTAAATTTTGGATTAATCGTAGTCAGTGCTTCATGCTGGTGTATATTATATAACCTCTTACATTTTAAACATCTCTTTAAACTGAAGCCCAGCTATACCAGAAAGTGCACTTTGTAGTGCAGTGGGAGTTGTGGGCTGATGTTTTGTCTTTAATTCTTGTCTTACAGATTTATCAATCCTGGCTGGACAAGTCTACCCCCTACACAGCTGTCCGGTGGGTCGTGACACTGGGCCTGAGTTTTGTGTACATGATTAGAGTTTACCTGTTACAGGTAAGGTGGTCTCAACTGTTTGCACATTGTCTAACTGTGCTATTGGTTGGGGTGTGGATTGGATGTATATTAGAGGTGTGGTCTGTAATAATTACTTTCAGAAGTTTCAGGGTAAGCACCTGTCTAAAGAGGATTGGTCACAGTCTGTCCTCACTTTATCATATCCTCTACCTAGAGTTCCGAGCATGCCCAGGCTAGCCCTGCCCTGAGTCCTTTAAACAGACCTTGTGGAATCCTTCCGACTTTGCTGTGTGTCTCCATAGGGACAGGCTCATCTCTCCATTCTCGAACGGAGTGTTCCAGACTCAGGGTGCCATGAGTGACTTTGGCACTCACCTGGGATTAGCAGTTTCTGAGCTGCTACTTTGTGGCTAAGGAACATTAAGAGGGCAATATAATGGATAGGGTAGCTTAGGCAGTCCTGCAGATCTGTAGGCTGGCGGTGGATGCCTTGAACAGGTGGCTTCTCCTCAGACTTGTCTGGAGCTTGTTGCTTCCTAGTTAGACATGTGGTTTCCAAGAAGTCCTTACAGACCTGGGTTGGAGGCTTTTCCAGAAGACGTCGGCTCAGAGACTTTGTCTAGAGTAACCCTGAAAGCTTTACTTCCTCATTTAGAGCTCCTTCCTTCTATTCATCCATGTATTCATGCAGTCTGTAGAAGGGCATTAGGACAAGAGGCAACACAGTGATTTACTGGATTCATTGATGCATTCACTACTGTGTGGAACTTGTCCTTTATTGTTTTTATTTTTAATTTATCCCTGTGAGCAGACACAGTGTTGGCTTAGCACGACATGATGATGGTAGGCTACTCTCTGGTTTATTCTAAAGGACTGGATCTGTGCCGCATGTCTGAAATTAGTGTTGAGTTTCTGTTTATTGGAACTTGGTCGATTCACTAGTGGAAAGACTGGACTGGCAGCCTTGGGGTGGGGGTGGGGCACAGCACACAGATTGGTTGTACTCTGTTCTGGATCAGATTTGTGCCTGACTTGGCATTCCTCATAGCTTGGCTTTGCAACATGATAGGATGCGTGCATAAAACTGACTTTTACATCCAGTTTTTAGTTGTCTGACTTGAAAATTTTTTAGGCAGAAAATTTCTTTTTGTTTTAAAAGTACAGGCCTTTAAGGTGTATGGTTTAGTTCTGGAAATCAGCTAGGGAAGCTTAATGCTCTAGTGTGCTATTGTTGGGACTACAGGGATTCCCAGTTCTTTGTCTTCTCTGGAAGTCTGGGGTGGTAGTGCAGGCCTTTAATCCCAGCACTCCTGAGGCAGAAGTAGGCGGATCTCAGTGAGTTCAAGACCACTGGTTTGCAGAGTGAGGTCCAGGACAGCCAGGGCTGTACAGAGAAATTCTGCCTTGAAAAACCAAAAAAGAAAGGAAGGAAAGATTGAATGCATACACGTTTTCTCTTGATTCCTGGTTCTAGTTCTGTTTTTTTTCTGTGAGGTTAACATTCCAAGTGAAGTGTTTTGGTGCTGTCTGCAGAGGACTGCCCCTCTCGAGTGTGCAGTAACATGGACGTTCTGTTGTAGGTGCCTTGTGAACCTGTGTGCTCACAGCAGGTTTTGAGGCCAGGCACCCAGCCCAGTTAGCCCTATGGGGCAAGAGTGTCTGTTGAGGAAAGCTTTCTCTTCTGCTGTAACCAGTTCTGGTCAGGACTGTGCCTGACTGTCATGCACATTTGGCTGAACCCTTAAAGAAGTTTGTTTTCTGGGCCACAGGTTGCCATGGTCATATCAAACCGACAAGGTAAGTTGAGGTAAATGGTCCCTGTGGAGCATTCCTCAGTCCTTACCACTTCATCTGGAGTAAACCACGTTCCTAGTGCAGCAGAGCTTTATGGGTATGGATTCGCGAACTGGTTCCAGTTGGTGGTGGCTGGGCTGCTCATTGATGATGGCTTTCCTTCTCTTCCAGGGTTGGTACATTGTGACCTATGCCTTGGGGATTTACCACCTAAACCTTTTCATAGCGTTCCTTTCTCCCAAAGTGGATCCTTCCTTGATGGAAGACTCAGGTACAGCAAGGGCCGCTGGGGCGCTGTCCAGGCTGCTCTATGCATCTACATTCTTCTGGGATAATCTATGGGTCTGGGAACACTTGGACCTGGGCTTGTGATGTTTATATGTGCTGTAATGTCTGCATCAGAATGAGTTTGTCTGTAGGATTACCCCGTAAACCCTGTGCAGCTGTGAAAAGGATCATTCTTTAATCCCCATTTTGTTTAGGAGGAAACTGAAGCACTGGCGTTAAATAAATAACTCATCAAAGCCACACTGCAAGCATGGGGCACATACGCAGGGCAGCTCCTCTGCTTTCTGTCTCAGGATTCACTGTTAGGCACCCTCTGGTTGACCAGAGGAACCAGGAGCAGTACATAGCAGGAATGCAGTACAGATCAGTGGGACCCTGGTCGCCAGGAGCTGGTCCAGACTGGGGGCATTGGGTGCTCCCTGGGTTCTGAGTTGAAATGTTTTGGTGTGTTTTTGTGCCCAAGTGAGGCCAGCTTTGGGTTGTGGCTGACAGATAGTGAACAGTGGCCTTTGCAGGGACTCTGCTTTCTCGGGGGAAATGCTCAGTGCTGATTTCAGATTGGATGATTAGAAGCTTTGATAACCAGGGGCATTTCCTGTGGATTTCAGCTTCTCTGTCTGTCAGTAGGATAGATGAGAAGAGGCCTTGTATCTGGTAGTCCTGGTGCATACATACATGGGCTCTCCTCCATAGGTTTGTGGACAAGTATAGGCTTGCCTGCATTTCTTCCCCACCCTCTTGTTTTTTTTTTTTTTTTTTTTTATTTA